AGCACTCGGAAATGGCGCGAATGGTAGCAATTGCTAACAGCAAAACACTAGCTAGAAAAGTTCTCTATTCCGAGGGCTTTTTACAAATAAGCTAAGAACTTACTTGTGTATCTTTATAATTAACTTTTCATATGACTTGAACACAAATTTCTTTCATACTATTGGTTTACCCTGTTTAAGGGCCTAAAAGCGCTGTAAATCTAATCGCCATATATGAATTGCCTAATATCTAGCAAAGTACTGGAAAATTTGGAATCCTACTAACATGCTAATGAAAATAATGAAATTAACAGCCTTTTTTTAAAAAAAAAAAGTGAGAGCAAGACGGGGTTAGACGTTTCTTACGGCACATGTGTAATTTGGTCGCAGTGTGGGCCATCAAAAGAAAAACAGTCAAAAAAAAGCAGCTCTAATGAATGTCCGACTTCATAAATAAGCAGCAAATTGTTCATGGTGGAAAACGAAAACAACAGAAATGCATTTACCCGATCCGGATCGGTGAAAATATCTGAACTGAGTGGCTGATCAGCTAAAAATTCATCGAAATGCCTCATCAGTTGTAGTGCTTCGTTAGCTCGAGCTCGTGGCACATGAACGCTTTCCAACTGATCGCCCAGGTGGACCACTTTCGTAGAGACTGTTTGCATTGTACTGTCCAACTGCTACAAAAACTGTACTGCTTTCATTTGATTTTGAAAATATTTTGGCAGAATCAAAGGAAACAAGGATTATCAAAATTTTTAGAAAAAATAGGAGAAAAAGAGCCAAAATCAAATTCTATGAACAAAGATTAACAAATATGCAAAAAAAAAAAAAAAATGGTAAAAAAGGCTGGAACCGAAGTGTTGCTGAACTTTTCCAGTGTGGAAGAAAGAAACACTTAATGGCTCGAGTAAATGCAAAAAACCAGATGCTAGCAAGACTTACAGTGTTTTTTTGCGAAAAGCTGCTTAAAAGTAAGGCGAAGAAAGCCTGATTCTTCAAAAAAAAAGAATGCTCTGGATGTGCAATTAATCATTTATTACTGAAATGACTTAAATTAGTAAAAGGAATGATTTTCCTACAGGCCAAATCAAACTCTCACCAAAAAAGCTACTCGCCACTGCAATGTGCTGTTCAAAAACAACAAAAAATGCAAAATAAGTATTAAAAAGTCACATAATTAACCCAAAAAAAAAAAAAACAGTAGCTTCAAAAGAGACAAATAGCAAATGCTTGTACCTTCAGTTTATCCATCGCATCAGCGTTTTGTTCATGAAGCCTGTGCAAAATATTCAAATATTCGCGCTTATCATTACTACATTGCTGCTCCATCGATGCAATCTTCGACTGCAATGGTTTCGAACTCAAATCATTCATATCCAAAGCCTAACAGCAAAAACTGCCTAACAGTTACAGCAGTGATAACGAGAAAGAACATAAAAACGAGCCAAAGTAGCCAAACGATTATAAAATTATGAAAAAGAAGAATCCTGTTACCTGAAATTGGTCGCTTAACATTTGCAGATTGCCAATTTCCTCTTCGAATTTCGTTTTCAAATCAACCACATCGAATTCGTCCTTGCCACCTGTCAATCGCCAAGCCAAACGTTCCACAAAATCAATTGCATCGAACGGCTCCTCAAGCAGAAAATTCTACATTATGTAACAGGATGCTGCTACCTGCTCAAACAATCTATCCTGAGATCATTAAGCGCAAAATCACGTCCAGATGATTGGTCTTTTTTGGCTTGATGGCACCAATTACGTTTGATTTTCCCTACAAATTTGTCAAATAGAACTTATCCCCAATCTGACGCAGTTTCTAATGTGCGTTTGAGCAAATGCATCGAAATACAAGTAGAATTAACAGGTTTTCACCTCCGAGCATGCAAACATTATTTTAAAAACTAAAAAAAAACCCCCAAACCGAGCGATAGTGCCACAATTCGCGAACAGGACTGTCGATGACTCCCTCTTCTTCAAAGTATTGTTTAAATAGAAGCGTATTTTGAAAGTAGGAAGAAGAATAAAAGTGAAAATAATATTCATAAATTAGTATAATTATTTTATTAAAATTATTATAATGGTAAGAAACGATTCGGTCCATTAAGTCGTTTACATTTCTTATCATTACCATCAACTGGACCTTGTCAGTACGACGATTGTGGTAATTGTGACTGCCATGAATTTAATTTAAATTAGTTATTGTAACTTATTAATAAAAGTATATGTTAGTTGAAGTAAAAAGTATTATATGTACTTACTAGTAAAAATACACTTATTAGTAAAAGTATATGTTAAAAGTTTAAAAGCAAGCTGATGGTGGGTCTGCTTCCCTGATAGTATCAATTTATCATCGAAACGAATGAATAAATCATAAAAAAAGCTTATGTACTCGTCTGCATTGTGCAGTGGCAACTGGCACTGCGCATTACCTAGGACATGTAGCAAATGCAAATAGGTGATAAATGAAAAGTAAAGAGAGGTACCTGCTCGAGATCCTCAACATAGGTCGAAAAATACTGACTTGTCATTGTAGCGACCGCCAAATTCAAGAAGCGTCTAAGTGGCGGTGGAAATGAGCAAATTCTTTTTGCTGGAAAAAATGTCTGTGATTTTAATAGTACAAACTCAAAAATACACAACGAAAAAGACTTTCCCTTGTACAAGTTAACAAATCCATTTATACGAGGCTTAGCAAGCCACCAAGAAATGCAATGAAAAACTCACTGCTGTTCCCGACCACTACAAACTTATTAGGGACAGTCTTCGTTGTGGGAGAAAAGACGGGGTCACGGCAAAAAAAAAAAAAAAGAATCTACACTACAATCTACACCACATCATTTTCAATCGCCCTTCAGCATTTCGCTTCAGTTATGAGCAAAACTTCGATAATAGAGTAGCATGTAAAATGCTGTCACTTTCATCATGCACATCGGAACAACGAAACTCACGGTACATTGAAAAATGTACGAATGCACAAACCGTCTGTGTGCTGTGATTTCACAAACTGGCTTGGCTTAGTCGGATAGGTGTCCAGATGTGATAAAGATTATATGCCCATTCGAGAAGACAGGCGTAGAGGTGGGTGGTATGGGGAGTGGCCATGAATGTTAAGCTTAGATTGTAGGGAATTGCGACAGAACGGAAAAGACTGGCATTTTAACTGGAAAGGAGCTGAGATCTTGCTTGGAGGGCGAAACTGGAGATACGAGTGGAGATTGCAGAGTTCATGCTTTATTAGATGCTAAGCAAGAAATCAGATGCTTCAGTGAAAGCTGAACGCTTCGTATTTGCATCGCCTTGGCACTTCTGTATAACTGCGACTATCGCAACTCTCTTTCGAATCCACAACCGAATGCATTTCCTTCAAAAAGAGGCTGCTAAGAACTGGGAAAGTTCGCGCAGGATTGCTGAGAACTAAAATACGACGCGAAGAGAGTGAGGAAATTGAGAGACGAAAAGATTGATAAGAATTGAGAGATTACACGCATAGACTGAAGTGGAGGAGTGCGTGCAGAGATTGATGAGAAATGAGGAACCGCTTGCAGAGACTGCTAATCTGATTATCGCATGATTGTAGCATGAAAGTAATATGAAGAGCGCAGAAAAGAAGGCAAGAATAGAACGAACTACGTAGTGCAAGATGTAGAAATACTACTGGTACAGCAAAAAAAAGTACGAGAGAGTTAAAATTAAAATGTATGCTGCTTCTGGTACCACATACGAACGTGTCGATGGATCGAAGGAACCAATGTGAGTGTCAGGCTGAGCTGGTGACAAAAAAGATAATTTATTGTATGACGTACTGACACTGGAAACAATAGGTAATCGACGAATCACCAGAACTGGTAGGAATAGGTCGGTTGTGAAAGACGCTCAGATGTTGAGGAGTGATACTGAAGATAAATGCGGACCCCGATTTATTGGATCGCCCATCTTACATGTTGATGTTCATGTAACAGATATCACACATTACAATCTCCAAAACGGCCTTCATGCGGGATTCCAGAATGGCCCCCATGGGAATCAGCGATGGATTTTACCGTTGTAGATTCAATCTGCGATAGGAAAGTTGATGAAGGGAAAAGTGGAGTGGGGATGGAGAGTGGAATCCCTGCGGAGATCGGATCTCCGATGAGAACGTCATTTCCCGACGTTCAGCTGGAATGTTATCGAAAGATGGCCCAGCTTTTTATGCGTTTTTTAAAGCAATACAATGCGAAAAACGCATACTGACGAGAGGTTGTCTGTGTGTGCGTCTGTCTGTGTGCGCGCAGGGCCTCTGTACCGATTTTTCATCTCGAGACCTACAAAAGCTACAGGGCTGAAACTTTGGGGACTTATCTACATGCACATATGGCCCCCATCCCGAAAATGGGCGGTATTACCCGCGTGATACCCAAGTACGGGCCCGTGAAAGTTTTTTGCAGGCAAGTCGCTAACTTGGGAACCAGAAAAGCTAGAAAGCTAAAATTTTAAGGGAATGTTCCCGTCCACGTAAGTCTTAATGAGCTCCAAATCAGTCTCCGGGTGTGCATGGTACCCACGTACAGGCCCGCCAAAGTTCTTTTCGGGTAATTTGCTAACTCGAGAACGTGGAAAGCTAGAAGACTGAAATTTTAAAGGGGCATTTTCCGTCCAAGAAAGTATTAGAGAGTTCAAATTCAGCCTGTGGGTATGCGTGGTACCCATGTACGGGTCCGCCAATTTTTTTTTAGGTAGATTGCTAACCCGAGAACGTGGGAATCTAGAAGACTGGAATTTTGAGAGGATGTTCCCCGTCCACATAGTTCCTAACGAGTTCAAATTTAACCCTTGGGAATGTGTGGTTAATATGTACGAGCCTGTGAAAGTTTTTTGCGGGTAAGTTACTAATTCGGGAACCAGGAAAAGGAGAAAGCTGAAATTTTACACGAATGTTTCCTGATAGTCCTGGCGGCCAGTCTCAATTCTTTTAGCTAGAAGCATTTGCCGGAAAAGTCGGCGTCGGTAGTGACAAAAACTGCAGGGAACTGTGCAAAAAACGCATCTTCACGCCGGGCAGTCGGTGCGTTGGCCAATTATATAATTTTGATTATGGGGATGGGGTCAAGGGCACCGCCTTTGCAACAAGAAATGAGAGACTTCGTACAAAGACTAATAAGCAGAGATTGGCGGAAAGTGTGGGGCGAG